CGCATCGAACATACAGTGCCTGCGCGATTCTCCGTGAGCAGCTGGATGGCACATACCGCGCCTGCGCGATTCTCCGTGAGCAGCTGGAGCATCGCGCAGGCGCTAAGACGCATGCCTGAACTGTGCGCGTGCACGAGGACGCCGCCATCCTCGTTCCAACCGAACCGGTTGGAACGGGATTAGCAACCCACCACTGATTCTAGGTAATTTGTGATGCAGTCATGACTTAACATAGAGATGACTGCAACATCATGGTTTGTAATTTACCTCCTTTATATTAATTCAGAATGAGGATTTGTTCTCGGCTATCAGTTTATAGCCAAAGGCACTGAAGATGATGCTTCTGAAGGAACATAGGATTTGTCATTGTGGATACAGATCAATCTAGTCATGAAACTGGTAAATCTAGTCCTCCCACAGGCAATTATGAGCATCTGATGAATGCTTCAAAGTTTGCTAGCAAGCCTAAGCATATTCATAAGACTTTACTTGGGGGATTTTATATCAAAATTCAAAAAGCAATTTGTAATGTATAATATAGCCAGAGTGCATTACAAAACAGGTAATACGGCATTCTCTGGGGACCTTTTTGGAAACTCTTGAGAGGCATCCACAACAAACTATTGCTGTCATTTGCATATTTAATTTATTTGCCCAGTCTGTTTCAAAGGACATAAAACACTTTCTGTATCTCTTATGTTAAGATGATTTCTGCATAATATTTTTATGGCTTTTCAGTTTAAATTAACATCCCTTTCTCTACTATGAACTGCTCTCTCTCTCTCTCTCTCGGGAGGCTGGTCATGCTTTTCCACAGAGTTAAAGGAAGTGTCACATAAAGTTTAACACCTTCACATGTTTATCTTGTTCAAGCCAAATAGAATTTAAAAAGCTATTTCAGCCCAAGGGGAGGGAAAGAGGCATCAGTTGCTCATTTCTCTGTTGCAGAATGATTCAGAAAAGTCCTGCTGCTTCAAACAGAAAACCCATCTAATCCAGCGTCCTGTTTCCCAAAGAAACCAACCCCCCAAAATCTTACAAATGGGAATGAAAGCGGTAGCCCAACAACTGAAATACAGAGGCAGGTTGGCTTTCCAACCTGGAGCTGATACCTGTCCCTCTTATTAATTGCCTACACTTTTGAAGTTGACGTATCAGTCCATACAATGACCACAAAGTCTGAAGTTGCCCAATACACCTGACCATTCATTCAGCTATGGACAATGCTGGCCAAAGACTCACAACCAGTCCTTAAAGTAGTGGTTGCTGCAGCATCTCCATGGTCACGAGGAGACCACGATTTGGGTGCTTGGCAACTGGCATGCATTTCATAAGGTCCTGCAATCATGTGGCTGCCATTTGCAATGTTCATAGTTGGCATCCAATAAGCAAAGTCATAGGGAAGCCAGTGGGAAGTTGCTAGTCGCAGTGACATGACATTGCACTTAAGCATTCACAGTGGTTTATTTAATGACTGTCATAGGACATGATTTGTCACTTTATGATAACATGGCACGCTTTACAGTTCCAACTGCAGTCCTTAAGTGAGGACTACATGTATGTTAAAATCTGGTTGGCTAATTGATGACTCGGTGTATAGTGCAATCACAAGCACTGTCAACAGTAACCTCCATTAATTTGCCCATGTGTTTTTTGTATATTTAACTTATAATGAAAACTGGTAAGGGGGGGGGGGGGAGATTGTGGATTGGATGTCGTCTGTATCAGACATACTATAGTTTCATTCTATATTAACTTAAAAAGGGGAAATAATCCTTACACTGAAATTAATTCTCGTTATTATTATTTTGTTATAATTTCAATTCTCACTTCCTTTAAATAAGGATTAAATAAGGACTGTATGATTTGTATTATTAATATGGACTCACTAATTAAATTTTTGTGCCTACTTTGTCAGGGTTCCTTACAGTCTGCTGCAATGCGATAGATTTCCCCTTTCCCTTCTAAGACAATTTTGCAAATGATTTGTTAGCCAGGAATATTGAGGATTGTAGTCCAACAGATCTAGCAGATGAAAATGCAGGGAAACAGTTAATTCCAGAATAATGTAACACAAAACAACTTTCTAGACTGTACCTGGTTCTCCTGGCAATGCCATTGACAGATTTGCAAAACCTGTTCCAATCCTTCACCTTGCAGCTTCAAGTATTTGTCCAGCTGTCTCCTCCTGTCTTGCAAGACTTCAAGGAGAATGTCAATTTTCAAACAACTATTGTGGGCACCCTGAATGAATTTTGGATTTATGTTTGGCCCATCAGATTTGAATTCCTGTATGAATTCAGTTAGGTCATGGCTTTTGTTTAAGAGTCTCAATGATTTTTCCAGAAGCTCTGCAAAGACAGTATGAAAAATAACACGTTAATTTGCGGGTGGACACATCATCGTTTAGCGTTGGAGAAAGTATACATATATTAATGTACGTTTGTTGTATCATAAGAGAAAAACAGTAGAAACTCTGTACTTCAGTGTCTGGCTTAAGTAAACATGATTTTGCTGTGCCACGTTAAATTCCCTTGGGCTCTTAGCAGTCATACTTACAGCATGAAAATGCCAAGAGGAACAGCTCTTTGGAGTAACGGAATGCAAAGAGACTTGCATATTATATCCAGCAGAGGGCACTGCTATCATTCAGATTAATTTTAACAGCAGCTGTTCAGATATTGACATATAAGGCCAATAATACATATAATGTTCAGGACTGACAGGCTGACAGTTCCTAAAGCCCAAAATAAAAAAGCATGCCATCAATTGTACTTAAACATGTATTTGCACATTCTCTCTGTGATCCTTGATCTTTTTAAAAACAAAACAAAACCACAGTACAGGCAGGCAGTTCTAAGCACCATTGCTGAAATCACATTCTTATAAAAGCTGGTGTAAGGGCAGAGTTCAAACTCTGAATGCAATATTTCATCTCCCTTTGGCAACACAATTGGATCAAGTACTTCGCATGTTTGTTACCATACAAACACTCTTGTCAAGTGTCATTCCTTGGGATATTGACATGGTGATTTTAACAGCAGCTAGTGAAAAATCTCCATGGTGTGGTAGATAGGAGACACAAGGCACTTTCCAAAAGATTAAAACCGTTTCATCGTGTAAACATCATGAGAAAAATCACAGGCCAATTTCTTCTAAAAGGCACCTGTAATTTCTGAGGATCAGCTGCCTAGGATCCGAAATATAATTTAAACCAAATGTCAAAGAATGTTGCATGCATTATTTAACAAACATGTTATGTCACACAAGGGGCCTTTTGCAAAATGTAAAGGTGGCAGTGGTACTTAGTCACTTATATTGCATAAAGCTGGGTCTCAAGCTGCATTTCAGCAAATACATTTCAATGCATGATAAGGAAAACTAAATATAACAAGGCAAGGCTCTACCCTGTCTAGAGATCAGATCTTAGGATCCCAAAAATAAACAAGCACAAGATTTACCAATAAAGGAGAATATTTATAGCTCAGGGTTAAAATGAGGGATCCTTGGTGCTCTCTGAGCTTGTTTTCTTGCAGACATTTCATTACCTAACTAGGTAATGAGGTACCTGGGTACTTAACAGTGCAAACACGTGATTTATTTCATTTTTCCCCTTACTAAGTGGCCTTTGCAATACTTAGAACTCTGCATGCTTACTGAATTCAATTTCACCAAGGAGTCCGGATGTAAAGGCCTCACCCAGCACTTTGTAGATAATTTGGACTTTGTAGAGAGGAAAAGTCTCCTGGTTTGACCCTATTTACCCCCTCCTCTCAGGCTGTAGTAATTAATAAGGGTGTGTGCATGTGCACAAGTGCAAATGTGCCTGTGTCTTCAAGTCATTCTTAATTGCTACTTCAAAGGGAGTCCCTGCAGTTTTCTTGACAAGATTTCAGAAGTGGTTCACCCTTGCATGGTAGTTTTTTGATCTCTAGCCTCCTGCCTTTAACCAAACTAGCTCTCGGTCAATTACTAATCTATACTCTGTATATATGTATGTATGTATGTATGTATGTATGTATGTATGTATGTATGTATGTATGTATGTATATATATGTGTGTGTGTGTGTGTTTGTGTGTGTGTGTGTATATATATGTGTGTGTTTTTTTATTTGTGCTGATAAATAATATATATATAGTCACAACCCCTGGTATGCCCAAATATGGGAGGAAGATCACTACTTCCATTCTCTGTCCTTATCAGTAGTGATCTTCCTCCCNAAGGAACAACGTAGTATCTCATGCACATTACACAGCTCAGTTCAAAGGCAAACTGACCCATCAACCACACCAGCCTCTTCTCTACACTGCACGTCCTTCCCCAGCAGCTGTTGCCTCATGCCACTATAATGTAAAAACTGTTAGGACTGTGTCAAGATGGCAGCCAAAATGGTGTGATTGAAGCAATGCACATAAAACAGGCAGGACTTCAATCAGATTGCTGTGTCTGCCATCTTGATTTCCTTGACTACATCCTGCAGGTGGCTCTGATGAGGACTGAGGAGTAACAGGTCAAAATGTCTCAGCCATGAAATTTACAAGATATTTTCAGGCCAGTCACCTTTCTCATCCTGACTAGAGAGTTATTGGGAGGAAAACCTGAAGGAACGCAAGTAATCACAATACTGCTAACTTAAGATCTGGGAAGGTAGCCATGATAGAATTGGGCTAAGTAAATAAGGCCTATCATTTCTGGGCTGTAAAGCCTGATTAACCATTAGATGGCTACAGAAAATCAGCTCTTTGTTCCCAAGTTTGCAACCCAACTAAACTATGCCTCAAGGAATTAAACAATGGCATCATGTAATAACTACAAGTAATTGTGAAAATAGATCCTCTATTCCTATAGCTGTATTCACTGGAGCTTTAATGAACATGTAGAAGCCAATTCTGCACAATCCTTCATTAATAACACAACAACCCTAATATGGAAATAAAATGAATAATGTACATGATACAGTGCAGTATTTTTTTTTACTTTAACTCCATATTGAACAATTTAAGCATAGAACACAATTCAACATTTAATTATTCACCCCAAACCAAGAAAACTACCCAAAAGTGTCTCTAAATCACTAGAAATCTATCTTCTTTGCCTTTTAAAACTCCATTAATTTTAGTGAGATTTCATTGTGCCTAGTTACACTGGGAGCCAGTTTGGTGCTAGGGTTAAGGCATCGGGTCAGAAAGCTGGAGACTGTGAGTTCCAGTCCTGCCTTAAACACAAAATCAGCTGGGTGACTGGCCACTTTCTCTCAGCTCTAGGAAAGAGGCAATGGAAAATCACCTCTAAAAAACCTTGCTAAGAAAACTGCAGGCAGTTTGTCTAGGCAGTTTGAGAATCAGACCAAATTCAATAGAAGGGGGAAAAAATTACACTAGACAGACTCCAACTTCTGTCTTGTTGATTCAATTAGAAATAATTTTGCTAAGAATATTCTGAACGTAAACAAGAGTGTTTCCAATAAACTGTTCAACTACAAACTCAGCAAATTACCAAGGTGTTCAGAGTAGCACGGGATTTTTTAAAAAAAATTAAAGAAATTTAAATTTTCATTTGGTGTCACACCACAAAATGACTTTTTGAGTGCTTTGAATTTATTCATTTTGTTTATCATTCCACATTCAACTCCTGATTTCATTTTTAAATTTAAAAAATCTGAATAAGTGGATATATAATCACACATTTCCTCCTGACAAACGTGGGATCTGAACTGAAGTGAAGTATGATGTAGTGGCTCAACTGAGCCACAGTGGAAAATCATTATAACTGTGAGTTTGGCTTTGTGATTGATTTCCTTTCTTTTTGAAGGAGAAAGTTTTGGCATTTTCCCTTTCACTTCAGAATACAGTGACCATGTTTTCTTGGGGAAAAAAATAAAGGACAAATCTAAATAAGGGGGCAAATCTGAAAGAGGTTCGTAAGAATTTTAAAGAATTTGTTTATAACTTTGCTTTACAAAGAAAAATTGGCAAGAAAATAGATTTTAAAAATTCTAAAGAACAGCTTTTTGAAATAAAAACTCTCCATTATAAAGGATATGGGGTCACTGTATTTTACAGCAAACTTAGGTTTTTTTATTTACATATTTAATTGATCTGTTGGACCATCTCATGACCCTAGGCAGTTCACAATAATAACATTTTTGTGATATGGCTAAAATGAATTTTAAGTCACAATTAACTGAAATGGCCTGGGGAATAATTCACTTTTAGGGAGCTTCTTAATAGGTATTACAATTTGAGCCAATGTTACCGTATATGCATGGAGAGGCTCTTCATGAGGATGAGGGCCATAATGGAGGAACTGTGTTTCCAACTCTGTCTCCTCCCCCCCTCAACTTTCAGATAATGGGGCATCACCAACAATTTGTCCTGATAAAGAGTCCTCAGACTGGTTGAATTTGGTTAGTGGAGTCTGTCTTGAATTTATATGATACCAAGCCATATAGGATTTCATAAGTTAAAACCATCATTTTGAATTATATCCAGGAATCTCCTGGCAGTTAAAATCAGGATCCAAAACCATAAGCCACAGTTTAGGATTTCAGTTGAGGGGAAGCCTGGTTTGTTGCTAAATAACAACAGGAATTATTGCAGTCTTCCTCTTGGACACAAATTTCAGAGAAATGGGGGAAAGTGGCATATGAATCTGAAGCAGGTTGCAGCATGCCCCTACCCACAAATCATGTTTTAGAGGAAGACTCTAATATTGACAGTATATTTCTTGCAGATTTTGTTTTGGTTTACTTTAGTTTAAGAAATCTGTGTGAGAAACAGCCCCTAGGTTTAGGTGAGGAATACCAACCTTTTGAAATAAGAGGTTACATCTGACATTTTTTAGCAAGTGATAGGTGGTTGAAGAAAACAGCTCTTCTAAGAAGTGTTGGCTCATTCACAGAGTGGCTACCCCAGCGAGTATAGTCAAACACAAAATATCAATTATCAAAAGATAAACGTATAAGATTGCTCTGTGTCACAATCTCTAGGCAACCAAGATGTTCAGTATCAAGCCATAGCCTACTATCAGGAGACTCAATCTCTCACTTTCCATCAGCTCTGCAATTGTCGCTTGCTCCTATAACTAACAGTAGAGAAAGTGAAAAGGAAGAAGAAGATTTTCTTTTCCCATGGGTGTTTTTAATAGGTTGATAATATGCTGCAAAACTGCCTGAATGAAAGTTGGTTCTGAGAAACTGGCAACAAGGAGAAACATATGAAACAACGCTAAGATTTTATGCAAAGGAACAAAAGTATGGACAGCCATATCTATCTAAAGCAGAACAATGGATAATACAGAATTTATAAAGCAATATATTTTTAGCTTTTAACTTAAGTCTGAATGTACGAA